AACAGCCGATGTGTGCGCTATATTAAGTGTATATATTATATTATATTCGTACCTCTGTCCCCGCGACACGTTCGTGTCGTTTTCAGCGCTGCGAGGGGGATCGTGTAAAATATATATATATACGCAACTCGTAATGCGCTTTTCTGCAGCAGCACGAGCGAATAACGGTGGTGGGTGGGTTGGCTCCGGCGGAGGGTGAGCTCGTACCTTTTTTGCGCGATGCCGGTACACCCTGTGGCGTGCCCGACGCGTATCCCGCGGTCTCGTGAAAACGGCAGATCAACTTCAGTAGGTACCGACGACAACGGGTTATTCCTGAGGAATGTCTCCGTTTCTCGTGAATCATAAAATATTATATCGACAGCATATATCCGTCAGAAGAGACCCTTACGAGTTACAGCAACTGGCTTCAGAGATGCCTGTACAATATCCTGTATTCATATCCACTCGTATAATATACCTAAGTAGATGTGAAAAAAGAGCGACCGTCTTGGTTATCGTTTTCATAGTTTTTCGATAGAGCTTAGTGAACATTTATTAAAAAATACGATAAACTAATCGAACGTATCGTGTCCCAACTCCCGAATACTTCACCAGCCACAAGCACGTGATAGGTGTTGTACAACCGCACAAACAGTACTACACTGGTTCGGGTTTGTTTGTTTATAGTAGGAGATATTTGCAATTTCGTAATTGTAATTTTCGGTTGTTTTAGAAATTTGTCTACATGGGGGAGGCCGTTCGAGGTATTATTATAATTCCGAATTATAAACCGTCTGCCACAGATAACTAGTGTACAGTAAGGTTCACTACCTACATATTTGAACTTTATGTTGCTCAACGCCTGTCGTCCGTCTTTAAATAATATGATTCATTCAGCTTTTTGTTTATGACGTACCTAGGTTTAAAATGTCTCACGCGTCGCGTGAAAAAAATAAAGACAAAGCCGAATCTAAGCACTTTGTTATGTTTGGTTTATTTTTAACGAGTTTAATTTAACCGCAACGAGCTGGACTCGAAAACAAGTACCTAGTTAGAATAGTGTTGGTGGATCACGATGCGCGACGTGATGACAAATATATTCGTATTATATTACAGGAATAATTTAAAATTGTTAATCATATCCCGCGAATATGTATTATTTTTCACGATTAAAATCAATTATCTAAAACCTAATCGAACACCGACACCCTATCCAACTCCCAATCGCCATCCCATCCTTAAGTCTAAGTCTTTTTTGGATATTTAGTCGGTTAGTCGTTAGATGACGACTGCGTACACCGGGGATTCGACCGATTTAATTATTCTATTGTGAGTCGTGACAGAGTCGAGCGAGTTCAAACCTATATTTTAGCTAACCTACGAGTTTATAATATAAAATTTGTATCCATATAATTATGTACGCCAGTTACGTTTTTTTAGCACTAATATTTTTCACCCTTTGTTATTCTTTACATTCGCAATCAGCATCGTTCCGGTAAAGAAAAAGCTCCTAACGCCCTCGATTTATATACTATATAAACAATAATAATACACGAGAAACACTCTTCCATAACGAATATAATATTATAAACAATCGTGTAACGAATGTCTCCAAAGTCTCTCGGCTATAACTCGTGGCGCGACGCAATCGCATTATTATCATTGTACCCGGACACGACCGAGCGTGGGCGGAGAATAGTTTCAGTTCGCGTGCTTTACACCTTTGTGGATACCTACGAATAAATGTATATTATAATACATAATACGTACGACGCGGCGGTCGATGCATTTCGTACGTCCGTTTCATTATACCGTAAATTCTACAACCATTATTTGATTATTACAATAATGGACGCCCCCCGAGTCCGAGACGACGTATTAGTTCGTCATCCGGCTCCTTTCATCGCCGCCGTTGACCATCACAATAACGATTCAATGCCAACGGAAACACGTATGTGCCTATTATGAATTTTGATATAATATATATATATAACACCTGGAGCTTTTGTACAATGCGCATTTCGACCGTGTTTCGTGGCTGCCCGCCATCCGAATGAGCATTTTTGTTTCCGTTCTTTTTTTGTCTCGATATCATATATTATTATTTCGTAGTCGCCGTCGCGCGCGTCGAGGTCGATAAATCCTTTCGGTGTGTATGCGATATCGATCGAATTGTTAATTATTATTAATTAATTAACGCGTTCGTCATTATTACCCAACGATCGATATATATATATATATATATATGTATATATATTATATGCACGCGCACGACCGAGTACATCATCGTCATGATCTATCTAATAAAAGTCGCTTTGGCATCGTCGAGGCCTTCGGAGGAGACGTGTCGAAGGGCGGTTTAGGAATCACAGTTGAATACAATTGGTTTCAATAACGTCCTATGCAGAATAATATATATTATTTGCTCAAATAAAATGTACATACTCTTTCGCCAAAAGTGTATACGTTTTGAATGCTAACAGCAATAATACGTGTACCCTTCAGGTACGGCATAATTATTATATATCATACTATAAAGTATATAGAGGTAGGTAGTATGTACCTACGGTGGACGTTAACAATGCGAAAACAAACTTTGATGAAAGAGAAAATTTAATTAACTTAGGTCCACACGCTCATAATACCATTGATTTGTTACGTGTGTAATACACACTGTGTATCACTTACAATCTTTAATGAAAATATTATAGTATCGGTTTTACACGTTAAAATCAATATAGTATTATATTTTAGGACCAGATATATAGTTATCCTTCTGGTCATCCTTTTGCGTAAACATTCAACAATAACAATCATCGTTGATGGTTTAGAGTTAAAATCACCATCTGGGTCTTTCAGCACAACACTTCGTAAATTATTATATTGTACGTATAATGGCCGGGTCTCGTTCTTCTAAATCCTGCATTCATTTTATTTTCCCGCGGATAAAAAGTTAATATACCCGATGTATGTCAAGAGGCGAACGGTCTTGACCGTAGACACAAAGACCAAAAATATTGATTTATTATTAAATGTACTTGGGTTTCGGTTTTAGAATAAACACGAATATACTTGTAATACAGTCCTGGCGTACATCGTGTATTTTGGTTTCCAAATGTTTGAGTTTTAATTTAAAAATAACACGACTGGCGACTGCATAGGTCACAGCTCATCCGAAAGGATAATCTCTGTACCCACGGGTATAACAATAATAATATTATATTATAAGCTCGTACGACAGATAAAATAAAAAACGATCGTTTGGACGTCGTATAATATAATACAGGAGACGAGTAAAATTCGTTATTGACGGTCGAAGATCATAAATTTTTTTATGTCGACAAAGAATTTAATATGCCATGAACCGTATAGAGCAACAGTATTATAATATCATTTCGTACGCGTTTCGAATAACCTGTATTGTATTATTTTATTTTTACGAATTAATTAAAACATTTTAAGAGGACATATTTCACATATTTTTCCAACCATCTAGGTATATATATCTATTATGTATAGGTAGTAAATTTTGTGCGCGTAAAACCAAAAGATTAAATCGCCTTATGACTCGAAGCCAATACCGAGGCCAGTTTAATATGACTTTAATAATACCATCATAACTATAAGGTTTTATCCGACGCCTATTGTCGAGATTCTTCCGAGCACACTCGAAAGACGATCGTCGATCTGCCGTGATCACGAATTTAGAGGGCTGACGCTCCGGGAACTCCCTGCTCTGTATAGTTGTACGCTTGTACGATCATCGCAGTAATAAATGCAAGGCCAACGGTCGTAAACTTCACGGTGTTTCGGGCTTCCGGCACCCGGACAGGTCGGGCCATTATTGTGGACGACGCACTTTATAGTGTTTTCCGCTCTTCAAATCAAAGTCCGATTGTCTCGCGCGGGCCAGTGAAAGACGCGAGGTTATATATAGGCATAACAACAACAATAATATACTTGAATCCTAATAATCCGAAAGATTCAGGACATCGATCGAGGCCTCGAAATATCAGCAAAGTCAGACTCGTCGACGCTCACGAACACCCGACTAATTCGCCATTAAAACGCCGCGAATTCGACCGTTCTATATACCTATAGTACCAATACAATAAGACTATAATAAGCACGCCATTCATTGGCGAATGACGAAGATACATTCTACTAACACACCACTTTAACACAATACCAATAGGTACCCATTAGACTATTTGACTATTATTATTAGAGAGCTTCGATCATATATATTATTCATTGGACAATAAAATGTTAGGTTTACGTATAGCTGTCCGCGGTCTTATTATACATATTAATATTATATTTACGAATCTGATTTGTCCGTAAAATTAACTCTGAAACATTTGTATATTATATGGTGCTCGACGAAATCTGCAGTAGTCAGCACCATCACTATAGCTGGTAGTCGTCGCTATGTTTCTATCGCATATTTTCATCCACCACACAATAACCTTGTTTATCGACGTATGTTACTATTTACAACGATTAGTACTCTGCACGTGTTGTAAGACGTTAATTATTTGCGTACGTTTTTTTTTTTTACGTATACTTGAACTTTGTGAACTTGAAAATGTATATGAAAACGCATATAATAACATATAATCATTGAATTCAAAACGATAAATAATATGGTTTGGCGATTTGGCGCAAATGAAAATAATACGCGCTTAAGAAACGATTGATAATAATATCCATTGCGATTTATATAATCGATAATTCACGAACACGGACGTATGTCATTGGGGTGTGGGTGGATATTTTTATACATTGATTGGTCATATTTATCTATTATAAATGTCTGGAAAACCAATAAAAACGAATAGGATGAAAAATATATTTACACGATGGCTTAAGTCGCGTGTTTTTTTCAATTTTTATGGTATATTAGTTATGCATGACAACTATTGTTGTCACTCATAGAACGTACTTTTTTTGTCTTACTAAAAATTCGGTATTTTTGGATTCGTCTAACTAGCAAATATTACACTTTGTTCATACAGATCCTTGCTTCATTAACAGTATCATTATGCTCAATGGTAGTTGGATTCGCGTCCGCCTATACGTCACCCGCCTTACCGTCAATGAACAGACCGGGCAGTCCGCTGACAGTAACCGAGGAAGAAGTAAGTACCCATTTTCATCGGCGTTTCGTGTGTGTTTCTGAGGTAATAATGATTAATCGAATTTTGATTACAGGGTTCATGGATCGGCAGTCTCATGCCACTGGCAGCACTCATTGGTGGCATGGCTGGCGGGCCCCTTATCGAGTCCATCGGTAGAAAAACCACTATACTCGCTACCGGAATACCTTTTATTATTTGTAAGTAAACACTAAATAGTATGAGGAAACTTAATTTAAATTCGACAATCGTCAACATCGATTTCGTAATGAATTCGGTATTTAGGTCTAGGTTTAATACCTACTTGTGTTTTTTGTTAGTATTAACCTACTTTTTGCTTTATGTGCATATTACTAAGCACATCTTAATCCGTGTACTTGTCGATTAGAACAGATTTTTTTTTGTCGTTTCTGTATATATTATACTTATATGATACTTTCATCGACTCTAACAATGTTAATGTTTATTATTTGTTTGCAGCCTTTATTCTAATTGCGATGGCTGTTAACGTGCAAATGGTAATGGCAGGTCGGGCCATAGCCGGATTCTGCGTAGGAGTGGCTTCATTAGGTCTTCCTGTATATTTAGGAGAAACTGTACAACCTCAAGTCAGAGGGACGTTGGGCCTTTTGCCCACCACTCTCGGCAACAGTGGTATTTTGTTGTGTTTCATTGCTGGCAAATACCTTAACTGGCAGATGCTAGCTATCCTCGGCGCTTGTATCCCTATACCGTTCTTGGTGTGCATGTTCCTCATCCCCGAAACACCACAATGGTACATAAGCAGAAGTAAGTCGTACTGGACGTGATTATTTCTAAACTGAGATTGTATATTAAAGACTCGTATTTGTTTTTTGTGTATAGATAAAAGCAAGAAAGCGAAAAAAGCTCTTCAGTGGCTGCGTGGAAAGGACGCGGACGTAACGCAAGAATTCAGCGAGATCGAAAAAGCTAATCACATGGGCAAGAACGAAGAAATGCCCGGATATCTGAGCTTGTTCTCCAAGATGTACTCGAAACCCTTGCTAATATCTATGGGGCTCATGTTGTTCCAACAACTCAGCGGTATCAATGCAGTCATTTTTTACACCGTCAAAATCTTTAAGGTATAATATTATGTAAATATTTCGACACTCGAATCGTTATGAAACAAAATTTACGAAGGCCTTTATTTTTCACATCTAAACATCTGTTTCCTTTTCATTGTTATTATTTAGGAAGCGGGAAGTACCATCGACGAAAACTTGTGCACCATCATCGTGGGTATTGTCAATTTCTTGTCCACTTTCATAGCAACCGGTCTCATTGACAAGCTCGGTCGCAAGATCCTTCTGTACGCGTCTAGCGCTACGATGGCGGTCACGCTCATCACTCTCGGAACGTTCTTCAACTACAAAAACAACGGTTACGACGTGTCTCAGTACGGATGGTTGCCATTGGCCAGTTTCGTGTTTTTCATCATTGGGTTCGCCATCGGCTTCGGGCCAATTCCGTGGCTGATGATGGGCGAAATTTTGCCCGGTAAATATGATAATTGATGATAATTAACTCGAAGAAGCACGAACGCTATATTATATTATAATTAAAGAAATAAGCCTGGTCCATTGTAATAAGAACTTATTAACAACTACCCACATTTCTTTCAAAACTTTAAAGTTTAAACCAAAAATAACGTCTAGATAACTATAATAAAAAAAAAGTATTTCACTATACTTAGATAAAATTTCCGATGTATCACCCTTCCCCTACCCACGTCCCACACCTCTAGTTATATTATGTATGTGTATAACCGGTCAAATTATATTATATTTTCAGCCAAAATCCGGGGCACAGCTGCATCGTTGGCAACGGCTTTCAACTGGGCCTGCACGTTCGTAGTCACCAAGACGTTCGCTGACTTGTTACGAGTCTTCGGAACTGACGGCACCTTCTGGATGTTTGGAGGCATCTGCTTGATGGGATTGGTGTTCATCATATTCTGCGTGCCCGAGACCCAGGGTAAGAGCCTGGAGGACATCGAACGCAACTTAACCGGGGTAGGCAAAGGCCCGGTGAGACAAGTGAGGAGGATGAGCTCGATAGCGCATCTGAAACCGCTGCCGATGGCCATCTAAACGACAGAAAAAATAAATTTTATTATGTATTAACTATATAAGAAAATCGGCGTATATATATATATATATATATATATTTTTTTTAATAATAATATTATACATCAATTTTTCTTCGGAACATTTTCGGCAATTACAAAATTAAACCCGCAAGCTTATATTTGGCGCGTACCTCTTTTAATATTTTACAATACAAATTACGTTTTTATGATTATACCTTTTTAACTATATAACATGTAAATGTGAATAGACCATTTTTAAAACGCGTTAGACTACACTGTTCTAAAGTGTATTATATAATGGTGCTAAAATATTTCAGACAATAATTAACAGAATAAAAACGACTTTTTTAAATTTATATAATATTAACTATATATATACATAAAAAAATACGATTACAACAATAATATAGACGAAGGCCGTCTCATTGCGTTTCCACATTCCGGAAAGTAGGTGAAGTTCCAATTTTTTATATTAAATTATTATTATATTTTTATTATTTTTCGTGCTGTGATAGAGACAGAGCATCCCCTCCCTCCCGCAGTTGTATAATAATGTTAACGCCACGATACACGTATATAATATTATATATATATATATATACATATATAGATCAAATACCGATTTTTACGATCGGGTCAATCCCTCCTCATAAGCCCTTCGAGTTTTTTTATTTGACTTAAGAATTTAATAGTATGATACGTATATAAAATATATATATATATATATATTATATAATTATAGTTGGGCACTCGTTATTGTACTTACAATTTAATACATTTACATTATTACACTATAATACTTTATATACATATAATATATGTCGATACGCTTAAGCCACATTTTTATATAGGGGGAGGCCTTCAAGTCAGTGAAGGTTTGTGTGTGTGTGTGTGTGTGTGTGTGCGTGTGCGTGTGTATGTTTAGATTAACGTTTTTAATATTATTATTATGTAGGTGTAAAATACGTAATTATAACACTATAATATACACACCGTTTAATGGATCGGTAAACAAACGATGTTTCTAAGTGTTTATATTTTGTTTTTTTAAACGATTTTTACATTGCAGTATACTTGGTACCTATATTTTTCCGGTTTTCCGATCCGTACATGCACGTATGATTTCATACAAATCGTGCAATATAACGGATCGTGAAACTGGAAATCATATAATCATTATAAAATTGTATATCGAGTTACAGCTACATAAAAAATACAATAGAATAACTGCGGCGATAAGACAATTTTATTTTACTAACATCAAAAAAATTAAATAGTCATTCATTCGCAAAAGCCACCCCGCCGTGAGTGTGTGGAACATGTGATCGATATTCGGAAAATCGGTACAGTTATGCACGCCTGCGATGCGGGGTGTGGGTTATATATTATGTTTATTATCGATACAACTTTTAAAACGACTAGACTGTTTTTTTTTTTTTTGTTTTTTTTTTTTTAAATCTTTTATTGTGATTTGATATTATTATGTTACATAATAATATTAATATTAAAAAGCCTCGCGTAAAAATCGTTTTTTACCAAGTAAATATATTATTAATACAAATACTTGAAATACTTACTAAAGTCGACTGTAAAATCAGTGTCACTTTTTTTCCAATCGGGCGGGCAAACTTTGTGATTTTATTATTATTTTTTTTTGTATTAAAATTAGTTACCAATATATTAAACTATGATTTTTTTTTTTTGTTAGGACCTTATTATTTATTAAAACAATATATAGATTCTCGGATGACATGTTATTTATTTCTAGATTTATTTAAATTATAATATAGATTTATAATTGTGTTTTGAGCTCAAATCACTCTAAAAAAAAAAAAAAGAATGTAGTACATATATATTTATATTGTCAATTAAATGAATACAATAAAAGCAATAGATATTATTATTATTACCTACCAGCTGTAAACCTATAGTTAATGAATTAACCACACATTCCATATTTTACGAAATTATTTAGTATTTTATCAAAACGTGTATGAAATATTATTTTATTTTATTTTTTATTTTAATTTGATATATATTATTTCTGTTTTAAACAAAAACAAAAACATTTTTGTGGCTTAAGTACGTTTTTCGAAAACGTGTTAATTCATTATTATAATATTTATTGTTTAATATAATATACATTTTTAGAGACTTAAACTTTTTTTATGAACGAACATACGATAAAATATTGTTTTATTTATTTTTGTATTACAAAATTATTTGAATGTTTAGAATGAAAACATTGTTTAATTTATGTGTACAAATAAACATTATTTGTTAAAAATATTTTATGTTTTTTTTTCTTCATTCTATTTACCTACCTAATAATAAATTATCTACTCCTGTTCCTGTAATGGATTGTGGATATCTTGTCATAGTGTCATGTACTCTTATCTAAACCATAAAGATATCAAAATGCATAGAATTCCAAATTCTTAAGTGTTTATTAAATAGTTATGTTATTAGTTATTACAATCGATATCGACGACTTTATGTTACAAGTCATGATATATTGTGTAATACTGCAACTTGGTTGTGCGACTGTTGGTTTTTAGAACAATGGTCTAATTTTATCTAAATTGATTTATAATTTTTAATGAAATTAGAGAAACATTTTTGTTTTTGTAATGATATCATTCTCTCGCGATAGCGATTAATTTTTGTAACTCAATCTTTTCAAAAGAGTTTTATCTTGCTCCATGATTTTATTCCTTATCAATAATGTTACACCATGAAGGTGAACTCACCCGCCGTGTTACGCGTCGTATATTCCGTATTGAACAATACGTATAGATGACGAATATTAAAGTAATTTTTTGACATTTACAGCACATGCTTTCGACCTACCTTATCTACTTATCATTTGGTGGTAATTGATTTATTTTATTATTGTACTTGGAGTTTGGACAAACAAACAATTACAAGAAAAAATATGACTCTATATTGGACTCTGCGCAGCATTTTTAAAATCTGATTTCTTTCTGTTGTACAATATGCAATTTTTGTTTCTATGTGACACGAAAATATTGTTCAAGGTTAACCGTCCTCACTCTTTAACCATCAAGACTACAAAAATCATTAAAAATCATTTATTTTAATTATACGATGACGTTGTAACACTACCTAAATGAATACATTTATTTTGGTTCATATTATAAATTGTGTTATTATAATAACAAATACAATAATACTCGTATAATATTGTGTGTGCATTATACAATGGCACTGTTTAATATTCATAATTTACTTACACTTTATGTATACACATAATAATACTCTACATTATACGGTTTGAGTTTTACTTCAAATAATAGTAAATGTCACGAGCGTGCCATTATAAAAGTACGTACCTATATATTATATTATACATAAATTTATACTTGTACATTTAGTTACAAATAGGAACTATATGCATTATATTATTATTACAATATGATTATCATACAAATTAACTGAATACTTACCTGCACCTACGTGTGACCGGCCTGAATAAATTATTTTTGGCGTAAAAACACGGAAAAAAAGTGTCACCTAAATGAAACAGTAATTGAGTCCCTTAAACACGTCGCGCAGACAATGGAGTGGTTGAAAAACAAAAGAGAAATGTCATTGACGTGCGTGTGCACCCGAGTGACTGAGTATACCCTGAGGTAGATATAGAACTGTAGTGTGATTAAAAACGCAACCAATATAATATATCGTATGAACTTGATTTCACCGGCAACCAAATACGATTTGCTGTTTGTTTAGAAAAATTAGCACAAAACAATGTAATGTATCTAAAGCAATTACAGTATTTACGAGCATCTAATTATTTTTAGCTAATTTGTATTATTTTGTGTAACCCTGCAGTTACATCACAATTGTTAACATCCATAAAAATATTTTTACAACATTTTTCGTATGTACGAAAAGTCAGTAGGTCATGAATTTAAAAACGTTGTAGTTTTTTTAATTGAAGACATTTTTTGGCGATATAAAAAAGTCGATACCTAACAGTAAAAGCCAGAAATAAAACATGCCATTTAAATGCAAATTTCAAATTACTTACATTAAAATTGAAGTAAAGCGTGTTATAAGAATCTTTAATTGTACACTGGTATACTTAAGCATATAACATGATCGGTGTACGATATTATGGACATTTTTTGTTAGGTTCGTAAATTTATCTAGTGAAAATTATTGAAATATACTACTTATACAAGTGCAAAAGCATATAACATGATATTTTATATTCATATAGCATTCATATTTTTACTTTTCGAATCTTTTAAACAGACTAGATCCACAGTGAAGACACCAATATTATTATGTAATTTAAATGGTGTTTTAATTATTGTCACGGTCATTTTTGAATTTCCAAGGGTATGGTACGTATAGGTATAATTATATACTTGCAGATATTATAAAGAAACACAGAAATTACTTAATCGAAATTTAGTATTTATATATACTCACCCCACTATATCTATAACTTATGAGAAATAATATTTAAAAATAAAATATAAAATTGTTAATCGTTTAAGTCTAGGAACCTAAGTTCGTGATTATTTTAAGGCCATTTTTTTCGTATTGTCTTACGAATTATTTAATGGTAATCCAAATAAAGTTTCATTCTCAGAAGTAAGAAGGAAATAAATTATTTTTGTGAAGACAATAAAATTATAGATACCCTTGTATCCGCAGTGCCACAATAATAGAAGACTACGCCCCCCCCCTCCCCCCCAACCATAACAAAGTCCTAGAGACCCCTCAAAAAATATGAATGGAATAAAGAGTATGGGTTGCTTACTTTAAGTTATAATAAGGAGAATAAAATTGAATGTATGTTTAATTATTTTTTATAGGAAAATAATCAAGTTGGTTTTCAGAGCTTAAAATTATTATTTTAAATTTGCATTATTTTAAAACTACAATGGTGCAGTAAACATAGATATTGGAATACTTCAGATGAATCGTAAGTCACTACAGATCATGGATTATCAATAAAGAAAATCATCTTCAGAAAATTCAGCATTGGTGCATGCAGAGATGAAAGGTTTCTTCTTAAAGGTTTGCACATTTATAGCTTTGTATATATTTATTACGATACCTACACAAGTACAATAACTATTCATTATTCTTAAATACATAATATTCAATTAATTAAAATTTAAAATGGGTGTAAATTACAAATAATAATACATTGGTCTTAGGGATATGAATGTCGAATCCATAAATTATAGAGGTTCAAATGTATATATATGGTATGATGTACACCGGCGAGCGTGGATAATCACGGTAATGTCCGTTTTCTGTTGGTAGGGAAATGCGGTCGAAATTCACTTCTCTCGCATGACTTCTCGTTCCGTTGGACTTATAATCAAACCATTTTAGTTTCATTGTCCACAAGCAGACATTTATTGGATGTACGATATATATACATTACCTATATTGTGGAACACAGTAGTTCACAGTACGAGCATGGGGCTATGAAATTCTAGCGGAAATAAACTATAAATAATATATAGTAATAGCGCATCTACATTCAACATTTCCACAAGTGCGTCGCAGCGTAATTTCTTTAAATTGTAAATAATTTACCAAGAAAGGATCTATTCACCTGTTCCATAATATTATATATGTTTTGACTTGACTGACGTAACCTTCTATACAATTTAATCATAATATTGTTTAATACTTTATAATAATCAATATCGCATTGTCGTAAATTGTTTTAGCTAAGAATACCTGCCACGATTATTCTACGAATATGATTGACAATTATCCATTTATACGATAACTAATTTTTAACTCGTCTAAGTAGAACGTAAATAATTAGAAACATGCATCGTTAACACTATCTCAGGGCCACTAAATTAATGGCTATTTAAAAAAATATATATTGCACTATTGTTTTTCTGATTTTTCAGACAACACGTTTATCTTATATTTGTGCCTAAACATGTTAGTTGAAAACATTGAGCTTAAATTATTTTCCGATTTTAGTTATTGTTTGAATAACTAATCATAATATTACAATATAATATCGTTTCCGACGAAATATCTGTGTAGCATAATCCGATAATGCATCAAAATAAGAGTTAACTAATGATGCTAGTGTATAATATTTCATTGTTATTACAAACTTTGTCCTAGTTTTTTATAATAGTTATGGTAAACTCATTATTTTTAAAACAAACCCATTAGTTATTTCTCATTACAACTCATAATTACTATATTTAGGTATTATTCAATAAATGTTTAAAAACTTTTTTCGATATATTTTTATTAGTTTTGAATACTAGCCGACTTTTTAATTCGTACAAACCTTTGAATTAAAATTATTAAAATGATTTCTAAAATGATTACACGTTCGTAGAAAGTAGAAACACACAAAAGGTGGTCATTTATCTTGTTTAAAATATTACAAAGAAACAGGTGACACATTTAGTAACCTAAGTAAAAATCTTATCTAAATGAGCTCCTATTATGCATACAAAATAATATAATATATCTTCATTGTTGCCAAACTACCAATAAATATAAATAACAAATTAACACATAACGAAAAAATATGACCAATTGCTTATGAATTATTAAACTAGGTTAAGTCCCCTGAGTTCTAATAAAATGATTAAAATATTTACATTTACTTACATTTGATCTAATAGTCCAGTGCATAAGTGTCTTTTCTAAAC